GATATGTGACGTCACGGGGAGAACTTACAGTAATCTAGAACCCGACAACAGAACCCCTCAGAACCACTCAGGTCTTAATGTAATAAAAAAAAACACACAAGTATTCCACAAGATCCAGTTAGATGCACAAAATACTACATAATTCTTTAAAACACGAGTTCACACTTTAAAACACCCAAAACACACTAAGATAACTAAATAAATCCTAAATAAAACAAACAAAACATAAGAGAGAAATACATTAAAAACACCATAAAAAAAACAGAAGTCACAAAGGAACAAAAGCAAAAATTAATATAAAAGTCAATAAAACAGGGAAATCACACTAAAAAAAAAACACACACACACAAACCACGAAAAACCACCACAAAAACAATAAAAAAAACACTACAACTACTTTTAGTGCCCCCCGCCTCCCCCCTCCTCCAAAGCACCTCACTCAAACGTTAAGATGCTGTCGTCTCAGAGTACCCAGATACCCGGAGTGATAACGACGATGGAGAGCTCCCTACTGGCGCCTCCGTGTCCTATAGAGACTAACGGGGATTGTGAGGGTATTAGGTCCCTCCTGGCTCCTCCCTGCCCCATGGAGGGAGGAGAGGAGTGTGCTGGAAGCGTTAACTGTACCATGATCTCTTCACAGCCCGGTGCTACTATCGTCTCTCCTATACTTCTCTGCCTCACTGGTGTCATTGGTAGGTCTGTCTGTTTGTGAATGTTCTCTCTCTCTCTTGTTTTTCCTTGTGTATTATGCTTACTCACGGGCGAAGTAAACACTGTACTGTCATGCTTGCTTAGGGGGGGTCCAAAATATGCTCACTCAGGGGATCAGAAGTATATAAGATGCTCATTTAAGGGCCTATTTACCTTTATAGACACGTTACGCTCGTTGCAGGTCAGGTGTGGGCGCTGTGTTATCTGTACGGCAACACAAGACGGCAGAACACCCGCACCGTCTTCTATGTCTTCCTCTGTACACTCATCTGGACGGACTTCGTGGGCAAGATAATCACCACACCTCCTGCCATCATCTCCTACGCCTACGGTGCCTGGGTGGGCGGGGTGAGTACTGGGTGGGCGGGGTGAGGACTGGGTGGGCGGGGTGAGGACTGGGTGGGGTTATTGCTATTTTGTGTGTCACGCTCACTCAGGGGCACTAGATAAATGGGGTTACTATGAATCTATATCTTATGCTGGCTCAAGGGCACTGAGTGGGCGGGGCCATTTATAATGTGTCATGCTTATTCAAGGGGGCTGAAAAGGCGGGGTTAATGTACAGTAATTTAGAGGCAAGAAGAGATGAGATTAAATTCATTACATATGTTATATTCTTGTTTAGGGGCAGAAGGCCGGATTAATGACATGCTCGTTCAGGGGCAAAAAAGGGGCGGGATTAATGACAACTGCTCATTCAGGGGCAAAAAAGGGGGCGGGATTAATGACAAATGCTCATTCAGGGGCAAAAAGGGGGCGGGATTAATGACAAATGCTCATTCAGGGGCAAAAAAGGGGGCGGGATTAATGACAAATGCTCATTCAGGGGCAAAAAGGGGGCGGGATTAATGACAAATGCTCATTCAGGGGCAAAAAAGGGGGCGGGATTAATGACAAATGCTCATTCAGGGGCAAAAGAAAGATATCATAAAAGTTACCATGCCATGTGTTGCCTTCCTCGTAACAGAAGGCTATGTGTGACTACCACGGGTTCTCCATGGTGCTGGTGAGCATGTTGACCCACTTCACCGTGTCTGCCATGGCCGTCGAGAGGTTCCTGGGTATCTGTCAGGGTTACTTCTACAGCAGGAACGTCACACCTACCCGCTGCAGGTGAGTCATCCCCCCCCCTCCCTACACCCCATGGTCATTACTCAGTTTTTACAGGATTCTTACATTTTCAGAGGTTAGGTAATTCTTGAAAGGTCGTACGTTCTGATAAGGTCGGACGTTGTTAAAAGGTCGTATGCAGTCAAAAGGTCGTACGTTCTGATAAGGTCGTACGATCTGATAAGGTCGTACGTTCTGATAAGGTCGTACGTTCTGATAAGGTCGTACGTTCTGATAAGGTCGTACGTTCTGATAAGGTCGTACGTTCTGATAAGGTCGTACGTTCTGATAAGGTCGTACGTTCTGATGAGGTCGGACGTTCTGATAAGGTCGTACGTTCTGATAAGGTCGTACATTCTGATGAGGTCGTACATTTCAAAGGGAGGGAAAAAAGAAGAGAGAGGAGGAGGAGAAGAATGGAGTCTGGTGGAGTGTACTGGGAGCGTATAGGGAGCGTGGTAGAGCCTAATAAGAGTGCCTGGAGCATAATATTAATTGAGATTTAACATATCCGACAGTGATCATTGTGACAGGGAGTCGAGCCTCTCATGGTGCTCTTGACCCCGACGAGAAACTCTGTAACTCAGCCAAAATTATATAACGATGGAAATAACAGAAATAACATAAAATAACATAGATATAACATAAAAATAACATAAATAACAAATAATAGAAATAGCATAAAAATAACATAAATAAAAAATAACAAAAATAAGAAAAATAACAATAAATATCTAAAAATATCACAAAAATAACACAGAAATAACAAAATACAAGATAACAGTTTATTTTAAGATGACACCATTTACAAACTCTGAGCTATGGTAATAATCACACAAGGTAAAAGTTATCTAAGGTCCTGTATCTAAATATAATAACTAAAACTATCAGATAAGAGATAACAAGCTGATAACACACTGTCATCTATATGGTATACAACAATGTAAACAATATGTATGTGTGTGACGTATGTAAACAATATGTATGTGTGTGACGTATGTAAATCCCACAGTGACGTGTATGTAAACAATGTGACGTCATAGTGGGTGTATGGAGTTCGTCAGGGCATTTAATTTCTACCAAAGTCTATAGAGAATAATACTACCCCATGTGTTGGATTTATTTCCCATTTATGTTGCTGATCCGAGGGTTATTTTTCCACGTTGTATAAAGTCAATTGCCGGGAAATAAGTTAATAAGAGTTTGTGGTGATGTCTGCTCTAGTTTATATTTTGTTCGTACGCAAAATAATGTGGAATTTTTTTGTTTTTTTCTATTATGGTACATAGAGAGAGAGAGAGAGAGAGAGAGAGAGAGAGAGAGAGAGAGAGAGAGAGAGAGAGAGAGAGAGAGAGAGAGAGAGAGAGAGAGAGAGAGAGAGAGGACGATTGCATATATCCATGTTGATGAAATTACCATAAAAGAACATTGACCCCCTTCTCCTCCTCCCCCTCTCCTCCCTCCTCCCACTCCACCCCCCTCCTCCTCCCCCTTCCCTCGGTCACAATAAAACCAGATCTTAACACGGATCTTGTAAGGACAATATCCGGGTTAAGAAATGGCTCTGGAATTCATGAGATGAGGGTTAGGAAGGGGTAGAAAGGGGGTAGGGGTGTAGGAGGGGGTAAGAGGGGCGAGTAGGGGGGAGTAGGGGGGAGTTAGGGGAGCGAGTAGGGGGGAGTAAGGGGGGAGTAAGGTGGGGTAGAAGACGAAGGTGTGGAGAAGTCGTCCCTCCAGTGACAAATTACGTAAACCTTAAATAAACAAACCGGAGATGAAGGCGTCAGGTGATAATATTTGTGTTGTCCTTGTTGTTGTTATTGATGAGAAGAATTGGTTGAAAAGGTTTATTTTATCTTGGAAATAATAATAATAATAATAATAATAATAATAATAATAATAATAACAATAATAATAATAATAATAATAATAATAATAATAATAACAATAATAATAATAATAATAATAATAATAATAATAATAATAACAATAATAACAATAATAATAATAATAATAATAACAATAATAACAATAATAATAATAATAATAATAATAATAATAATAATAATAATAATAATAACAATAATAACAACACTCATATTACAGGACTCGGTTAATTTATCATAATATCCTATATAAATTAAACTTCAATACCCACAATTAACTTAATTAATTTATAGCACAGACAGACGGCAATGAATAAACATGATAAATTACCCACACACGAACGAACAATGAAACAAGCGAACCTCATTAATGGGATAATGTAACACAAAGAGGATCTATCAGGGGAGGAATACAGGGGAGGAGTTAACAGGGGAGGAGCTATCAGGGGAGGAGCTATCAGGGGAGGAGCACGGGAGGAACTATCAGGGGGAGGAGACAGGGGAGGAGTTAACAGGGGAGGAACTATCAGGGGAGGAGCAATAGGGGAGGAGCTATTAGGGGAGGAGTTAACAGGGGAGGAGCACAGGGAGGAGCTATTAGGGGAGGAGCACAGGGGAGGAGCACAGGGGAGGAACTATCAGGAGAGCACAGGGGAGAGACAGGGGAGGAGCACAGGGAGGGTTGGGGAGGGCATAGGGAGGAGTTAACAGGGAGGAGCAAGCAAGGGGAGGAGCTATCAGGGGGAGGAGCACAGGGGAGGAGCACAGGGAGGAGCTATCAAAGGGAGGAGTTAACAGGAGGAGGAGTTATCAGGGAGGAGCACAGGGGAGGAGACAAGGGAGGAGCACAGGGGGGAGGAGGAGCAAAGGAGGAGCACAGGGGAGGAGTTATCAAAGGGAGGAGCACAGAGGAGTTAACAGGGGAGGAGCACAAAGGAGGAGCAAGGAGGAGTACAGGGGAGGAGCACAAAGGGAGGAGCACAGGGGAGGAGTATCAGGAGGAGGGGCAGAGGAGGAGAGGGGAGTCAAGGAGGAGCAAGGGGAGGAGTTATCAGGGGAGGAGTTAGCAGGGAGGAGTACAGGGGAGGAGCACAGGGAGGAGTTACAGGAGGAGGAGTTATGGGGGAGGAGAACAGGGGAGGAGACAGGGGAGGAGCATAGGGGAGGAGCAGGGAGGAGCACAGGGAGGAGTAGGGGGAGGAGCACAGGGGAGGAGCACAGGGGAGGAGTACAGGGAGGAGTTATCAAAGGGAGGAGTTAACAGGAGGAGGAGTTATCAAGGAGGAGCACAGAGGAGTGGAGGAGCAAGGGAGGAGGGAACGGAGGAGGAGCACAGGAGGAACAAAGGGAGGAGCACAGAGAGGAGACAGGGGAGGAGACAAAGGGAGGAGCAGAGGAGAGCACAGGGAGGAGTATCAGGGGAGGAGCACAGGGGAGGAGTTACAGGAGGACAAGGAGGAGCAGGAGGAGGAGCACAGGGAGGAGTATCAAAGGGGGGGAGTAGGGGGAGGAGCTATCGGGGAGGAGCACAGGGGAGGAGTAAAGGGGAGGAGACAGAAGGAGGAGCACAGGAGGAGGAGTACAAAGGGGGAGTTAACAGGGGAGGAGCACAGAGGAGGAGTACAGGGGAGGAGCTATGGGGAGGAGCACAGGGAGTTATCAAAGGGAGGATCAAAGGAGAGTTAACAGAGGAGAGTTAACAGGAGGAGTTATCAAAGGGAGGAGTTAACAGGGGAGGAGTTATCAAAGGAGAGAATAGGGGAGGAGTTAACAGAAGGAGGAGTAACAGGAGGAGGAGTTATCAAAGGAGGAGTTATCAAAAGGAGGAGTTAACAGAGGAGGAGTACAGGGAGGAGTTATCAAAGGAGGAGTTAACAGGGAGGAGTTATCAAAGGAGGAGTTAACAGGGGGAGGAAGGGATGGAGCATCAGGTTATTTATCAAAGCTGTGACCTTAATCCTTGACCTAATATCACCCAAATCATAAGGCCTCTAGATGCTCTCATGGTTAATACATACACCAGTTAATGGACTGTTGTTTGTCCGTCCTCGAGTTATCCGACGAACAAAACAGATTTTCAAAAGATAGGCTTGAAATCTGACTCCATGTCCTCCCACCTGAAAACATAAGCACTGTAAACACTATCTTGGTACACACACACACACACACACACACACACACACACACACACACACACACACACTCGCTGGATTGAGTAACTTCTGCCACAAGACTTGGACTCGTTATATTGGCACACCGGACTTACGTGTGCTAAAATAATTACCTGGAAACCCATTATAGGGCATTACCGTGATGAGGTGGTAGTGGTGATGTGGGCGATACTGTGGGTTTGTAGTGTGGGTCGGGTCTCTACCTACCTCCACTGACACGACGTTGAAAATCTCACAACTCCTGAGGGTGTGGCTGAGAGTAAAGGGTGATGAGAGAAGAGGGTGTGGCTGAGAGAAGAGGGTGTGGCAGAGAGACGAGATATAATCCAGGATTTATGTCACAAGTGTTTAAAGTCTCCCATGAGAGATTCACTTAAGGATTACGACACATCACAGGACCCAGACACGGGGCTAACCTGTCCCTACCTAACACCATGATTATCCTCACCTCAGAGTTAATAAGTTAAGGCAGGACTTATGAAGGTAGGCAGGTGAGTAAGGTAACTTTCTCCACCTCTCTCTTATCCCATCCCTCTTCTCTCTTTCCTTCCCCCATTCCACCTATCACCCTCCCCTTCTTTCTCCAATTCCCTACCACCCCCTCCACTTTGTTGATAAATGGTTCCCTCGTTCGTGCTGGTTGATTAAATTCCTGTAATATTCATAACACACAGACGTACACTGAAACCGGTCTAAACGAACAAGTCCGAGATCCATATCGTCCTGCATAACAAAAAGTCCGAAACTCATATTGTCCTAAGATTAAAAAAAAGGTCCGAGACTCAAACCATCATAGGAAAAAAAAGTTCGAGACTAATATCGTCCTGAACAATAACAACAGCAAAAAAAGGTCCGAAACTCATATCGTCCTAAGATTAAAAAAAAGATCCGAGACTCAAATCATCATAGGCAAAAAAAGTTCGTATATCCTGAAAAAAAAAGTCCG